GTAAGATTAATTACTCTGTCTTCCTTAATCTTAGGCTCAGGCAAAGTGTATGGATACTAGCAAAATGCAGACAAACTTTCTGCCAAGGTATAACACACATCATCTGAGTCCAACATTCAATGCAGTTCTTCTTCCCTGCAGGAACATCTTGAGCCTGGTCTTTACCAGCAGGATTTGTGTCAGCTTTCTGGTCTTCTGAGCTCTGACCAGAATCTCCCGTCAAGTATTGCCTAAGGTGTTCTGGCTGTACTTTTTCAGCCGGCATTTTTGAACCTTTCCAAATTGTTCCCACAAATCATTCCCAAAGACTCCTGAACCACATGGTCAGCTATGGTTACAGCAGTGACCCTTCTTTTGGTACCAAATTCTGTCTTAGTTACTTTTTCATTGCTCATCCTGGATGTACATTCTTTTAAACCTTAAAAGAAGCTGGTCAAGTAGAGATTATGAATACACTGGAAAGACAAGATAAGGGCTGGGGATGTGGCTCAGTAGTAGAATGCTTGTCTTGTAAGTGTGAGGCCCTGGCTTTAAAACTCAGGACTATGAAAAAAAAAAGGGAAACATGTTGATTTAAACTTTTTCTTTAACAGCTGTCTTGATTTTTCTAAATCCAAAATTTCTCTTTTTTTTCCCCATTGAGGAGATGTTCCATCTTCCCTAGTTACTGTGAAGTTTTGAGATCATGGTACACATTCTAAAACATTTTTGTTTTGGGTAGTTTTGTACAGTTTTTATCAATCATTAAACCATCTAGTGAGGAAAGGAAAGCAATGAGGCAGCTGAAAAACAGGGAGGTTATGTAATATACTGGGTTAGTTATACAATAGACAAAGTATAAGAAACAGGATTCACAGCCAATCTGCCACTGAAGCCTGTGCTTAGTTAATATTACCAAGTTGTTTCTCTGTTCTCTCTTTGACAAATTTCCAAGCACGGCTACATAGTTATTATTTTTTAGAACATTGAAGTAAGTTAAATAGGTCCAGAGAAGTTCGCATGTTTCTTCACCAAATGCGAGAAGGAGGCTTGGCCATCAATACCTGGGGCCACATCTCCCCACAATACCCTTCAACTCACGATACTTCATGAACTGTCTTTGGCACTTCCTATCCAGACCAGTCCCAACAGCCAGCAGCTAGGATTGCTCTCTTGTCTGCACAGGTCACATGCCAGGTGTTGGTTACAATTTGGCACCCTGGTTGTGACATAGACCTCAAACTTAGTGCTTGCTACCCTCAAGTGACTGAATCTTTCTCCCAAGCCCTGCAAAAAGCTTCTTTCCATTTAATGTTGGCCTTTTTTAACTTTTTATTTTGATGATTGAGCAAGATCCACTCCAGAGTTGCAAAAGATAGTTCCCATGGTTCCACCAACCCAAACTCTAAAATTGAGACTTGGAACAGAAGCAATGTGGTGCTGGCTGACTACACATGAGAAGCATTATTTGCTCTACCAATCTCCAGAAATGATCTGTCCAAATTTCAGTAGAGATTCATTTATATTCCATATACATTACTAAAATGGTCTTCTACAAGTTCCTTGGAATTTTCTAAACATCAAAAAAGAAAGTTACACATTAACCAGCTATTCTCCCAGTGTTTCTCTTTATCCCAAAGACAGTGATTAAAATACATTGACAGCTCTTAAATTATCAGAAAATTGCCAGGATGTTCTAATCATTAAAATTTTAAAATTAGAAAAGAATTCAAAGACATTTGAGCATAAATCATTGCATCAATCCCTTACAGATTTTAAAATTCGATACTCTACACTTTTGGTTTTGGCTATTTCATTTCATATAGAGGCTTCAACTAAAACTTATCTGTCATCTACCTCTGTAATCCCAATTTCTTTCCCACATTTCCAAGTGCTAGAGTTGTCTTCCCAGCTGTCTTCCTAGTACCTTCAACTCTAGATGCCATCTTTTCGCAAAACCCATCCTCTCTCTTTACGTCCCTTTTTGCTAATGACATCTCCATGTACCCATTTATTTCATCTGCATAAGTTTGTCAATGAAAAATTGTCAGCACCACTCTGAACATGCAAGATGCTAAACTTTTGGGGAATGATACATAAGCCCCCCATTCATCCCAACTGGCCTTTTTAGTTTTGTCTCCCACCAGACCCCAACTTTCAACACTAAAATTCTTAAGATGTCCTAAACATGGTATCATGTTCTTTCATATATTGATGATATATACAAGTTGTTTAGTTTAAATGCTTTTGTTATCTAGTCTCTTAGTGAATTCATTCTTATTCTTTCAGATTCAATTCACTGCCACTTTTTCTGTGAAGACTTCCTAGATTTTCTGAGTTTTATTTTCTAATAGCCTTCCCTAGAATGTTTGACAAGTGCTATGAAAATATCTATAATAGGCCATTAGTTATTAATTGTTCGTGATTCTGTCTCCCATTACCATTTTTGAGGGGTCCAAGAGCAATGGCCAAATATAATTCATCTTTTATTTCTTTGGGGCAGGATGTGGGACAGGAAATAAATATTCATTAAATGAATGAACGATGAAAGGGACCCTCTTGTTGCATACATAACCTTCTTCAACTTTGTATTGCCTTTTTGTTGTTGTTTTTCATTGACACATAAAATTGTGCATAATTTATCAGGTAGCAGCTGATGGTCCGATACAGGGATACATTATGTAATGTCTAAATCAAGGTAAGCATATCTATTTCTCCAAACATTTAATATTTCTTGGTGGCAAAAATATTCAAATCCTTTATTCTAGTTTTTAAAAATATGTAGTACATTAACATCATCTATGTTAATCTATGTCACTGTACTGCACAGTAATAGAACACCTGAGGTCACTTCTCTTTGTATCTATATTACTTGTATTGGCTTTGTTTGAGTCTCCAGTTCCCCTGTTGGATTGGTAGTTCTTCCAGGGAAAGGACAACATTATCTGGTTTTTAATCCTCTACCACCACAGTCTTCTATAAAGCCTATTTCTTGAATAAATGAGTAAAACTCTTGTAGGACCTTGTGCCATATTTTATTTTATTTTTCATTTTTTTCAGTGTTGAAAATAAAACTCAATGCTCTACTCGTTATATCCCAAATATGTAAATACTGAGATAGCATTTATATATATTTTGGGTTTTTTCCTTGCATTCTGGGGATGGAATCAAGGCATCATGAATACCAGGCAAATGCTGTACCACTGAATTACATCCCCAGCCCCCACCCCATGCCAATATTTGATATTTTGCAAAGCTACTGCACACACATTGTATCATGTGCCCTCACAACAATGCTGTAATCTAGCTGTAACTAATAGTGTCATCTCCTTGTAGATGACTCAATGGAGAATGGCTAGGCCTTGAAACCCTGTTTTTTTTTTTTGCTTCTTAGAACAATGTTCCTTCCACAGAATGCTATCAGTCTTTTGTTCTGAACAGATTTGGGAAGTGAATGCAGAAGGTTGATCACTTCTTATACAAACACCAAAGCCCTTATCTCCCTCTCCTGCATAAATCTAACACAAATAATTTAAGTCAACTTGAAACAGTGTAACAGTCAAAAATACAATAGGGGAGGAAAAGAAGAATTTGAATCCATGAGGGATACTCTGGGTAAGAAAAGAACTTTAGGGAAAGAGAATCTTTAGTTTACATATATAAGGTAGGCTCAGCAAAAACAGTATAAGATCCACTTAGTAATATTTTCTAAAACATCTTGTTAGATATGCTTTTTAGTCCAAGTTCCTCTGGGAGAAAAGATGTCAAAAATACTTTTTTTAAAAAAAACTGAGTCTCTATCCAGGCTTGGCGAACCTCAACAGGCTGTGCTTATGCATCAGTGCATCAAGTCAGAGACCCAGCAGAGGGGAGCCCATCAGGGCTGCTGGACAGAGGTGGTAGCTGAATTTCTGAGCTGCCCAAAGATGAGGCAGACTGGAGTGAAGGCAGTAGCACAGGACCAGGGGCAGCTCCCAGCATCCAAACCTGGGTTTCCTTTCCAAGCACAGAAGTGTCCACCTCTGTCTTGCCATCCTCACAGGGAGCAAGGCTGGCCCCGGTTCCTGGAGGCTGCTTAAAATTTGTTGTGGATGAGTCTTAGACCACACATTTCTGGGTTCCAGAGGTAGCTGAAATACCAGGAGAGTCAAAACATCCCCAGGGGTCTGCTAAATGCACTGTGCTGGGAACCCTCCTTACTCCTTCTGTGTCCTGCACCCCAGTACCATCTGCTTGATCCTCTACAGAGCTCGAGTTCCTCCACTGACCCTCTTCTTCCTTCTGAGTTTCAGGGCTCCTGATGTGTCCACTGGTCACTTCCCTTGCAAAAGTAACAGACTCTGTCCATTTTCTTGCCTAATATGGGCTGTATCAGAGAGCCTAGTTGTTTCTAGGCCACCCTGTGCTTCGGGTGGGGGAACAGGGCAAAAAAGGTTGGATCAGAAAAGAAGCGCTTGCCAAAAAGGTCCTGCAGGCTCAGGTAGGCCCATGACAATTGGAACCAGAAAGAACTCACGGAGTCTGGAGAGGTTCTGGCAAGGGATCAACCAGGGTTCAATCCCTTTCTCCTGTTTAAAGCTATTTTCCCGACACCAAAGTAACAATATGTGCCTGCCTGCTGCAAGCTAGGGAGAGTGTCTGCGTCAGATTGAAGCAAAGGACTGATCTTTGCAGCATTCCCCAACAGGTGCCCCTGTCTCCCTGTCTCCGTTTTTCTTACTGCATAAATCCCTGCAAGAGCAGGCCTTTCTGCGAGAGAAATTCAAAGTTTAGCCCCAGGTCTGCCACAAGCATCTAGTCCCCAGGTTTCTGTGCAGGGGGACTCTAAATCCTTCCCCCAGGGCGAGTTCACTGTGTGGCGCGTGAGCCCCGCTGGAACCCTGCCATTGCGAGCTCAGAGCTCAAAGTGTGGCTCTGGGCTCAGCCTCAGCCCTGTAGCCGCCCCTCGTGTCTCTCTCGGCTGCGCCGCCACCTGTCCGAGTGCGGCGATGGGAGAAAGAGAGGGCGCAGCTGCCACTGACCTGAGATGCCGCCCCCCACCACGACCACGTCGCATTTGGAGTTCATGGTGCTTGCCCAGCTCCAGGCCGCCGGGGTGCCTGCCGCTCCGGTCTCTTGGGCCTCTATCCCTGCCCGCTGCGCTGCGCACTGCCCCCGCGCACTAGCGTCTTAGCCAAACGCTGTATTGCTGGCCCCGCCCGCAGCCGGGTGGAGCCCATGGCCACCGCCCCTTTCCGCAGCTCCAACCCCCCCCCCCCTCCACAGCCCAGGTTTGGGAAGGGCGGGAGTCCCTGCTGACAGGTGACCTAGGATCGCAGAGTCCCTCCCCAGAGCCACTACCCTTGGCCTTGTGGATGGTATCTTCCAATCAGTCTCCCTAGTGCTCTACAGAGCCTTAGGGGAGGGGAACAGATGGGGTGTCTTCCACCAGCTCCCCAGTTAACCTTGGTCTGGAGCAAATCATAACACAGTGCTTTCCAGATACTAGGCACTGTGCTCAGTGGTTCAAGTCTGATTCCTGTTCAGTCTTACAACCCATTTTACAGCTGAGGAAAGCAGTCAAAGTAGTGAGAAAACCCTGACTGTGAAAAGAAAGCCATGTACCAAAATAACCCCTTGTACCTGATAAATACATACAATTAACATGTGTCAATTTATTGCAATAATAATAAAAGCCAGGAAGATTCTGAGACTCATTTCAAACCATCATACAATATTACCATTATCTTGACAGATAACAGGTAGAATTCTCAGTTTCCAGACGTTCACTTCCTTCTGTACTCCCTGTGAAAACACGTGAGGAAGGCACCTCATTAATGGGATAAATGCAACCTTGACAGTGCCTTAAATTTGTTCACTTTTACAAGTGATCAAAACACTGGCTATGGAGACATATGTCTGTAGGAGAGCACGTACTTAGCATGCACCGGCCCTAGGTTCCATCTCCAGCACCACCTCCCCAATACACTCACAAAAAGGAAGGGACAGGAAGGGGGAGAGTAAAAGGGGACGGAGGGAGGAAATTGTTGAGGCTGGTATACAGGAGGGTTGGTGGGCAGGGAGGAAGCCCTCGATGAGCAGAGCGGGATTTAGAGTTCCCCTAAATGAGCATGACATGTTATTTATATGACCCTAGGATGTGAGTCTGGGATGCGGCTTTTCTAAATATATTATTGCTATGGTTGGAATCCAAAATATCCCTCTCCAAACATTCACTGATTTTTTTAAAAGAAAAAAGAAACAAACACAAAAAAGGTAGAAATAATGCACAATTTCTAAACAAAATATTAACACTAAGAAATCACTAAATGACGTTACATATTATCCTCTTAGAAATAGTTGTTCAAGTTACAAAATCAAAGCATAAAACGTGGATAGACACTCAGACATTTACAGTGCAAACTATTCTGTTCAATGATCCAATGAAAACTTAGTAATATGTTCATCTATCTTACACACTTAAACATACATACAGTTATCTTCTTTAGATCACAATCAGCTCCAGAGTCACTGGTTTTAAGGCTTGGTTGCTGATTGATAAGCTTTAGGGCAATGGATTGGATCATTAAGGCTCCAACTTTGCCAAAGAGATCAATCCATCCATGAGTTCTTAGCTCAAGGAAACCTGTTGGAAGGTGGGGCCTAATTGGATAACATAGGCCACTGGGAGCACAGCTCTGAAGGGTATATTTTGTTCCCAGTTCCTTCCTCTCTAGTTGTCTGGTTCTTTTTCTCTCTGTCTGCTTCTTGGGTGCTATGAGCGGAACAGCTTTGCTCTACCGCACCCTTCTTTCACGATGTCCTGCCTCAGTATAGGCCTAGCCAACTACTGACTGAAGCCTGCAAAACTTTGAGCTAAAGTACGTCTTTTGTCCTTAAAGTTCGTATTTTCAGGGGTTTTCTGTTGTTGTTTTGTTTATTTATTTTGTTCTATATTGTTTTGTCACAAAAACATAAAGCTAAATAGCTCAAAGAATGATTCAGCATGGTTATATTTGCTCAAGTTCGTGTGGTTTCAGGTAAAAGAGTCCTACTTCTTCAGTGCAGTAAGAAAGCCACCTATAAGAACTGAAAGTGGGAAGAAGTAATACAGTGTGACTTTTCAAGAAATAATTGGATGAAGTGCTTCTTTTCAGCCTGTGAGACTGGCTCCAGGGAATGGATGGAATACTATTCTACTATAAATAAGGGAAGTTTTGAGTCATATTGTAGCTTGTATATAGATGCCCCCCAAGCCTCCTGCAGTCAGAGATGGGGCTTTTCAGAGTGACTGAATCTAGATAGTGTGAGGCTGTGTTTAAGGATGCCATAAGGGATGAAGGATGCCCCACCCTGGATGTGAGTGCTACTAGCCCTAGGGCTCCTGTTATCTCTTTCTGCCTTCCTACCTTCTGCCTACCATGAACTGTTTCTCCTCTACTATGCCCCTCTGCTATCCCACCCTGCCTTGGAGCCAATCAACTATGAACTGAGACCTCTGCAAACTGTGAGCTGAATAAACTCTTTCCTACTTTAACTTTAGGTGTTGAGCATTTTGTCTCAAGAATGAGTAAAGTTACCAAGACAAGATATTTGTTCCATTTATGTCCATCTGCCAATAAGATCAAGAGAGGAACCATGGTTCCATAGTGTCTGGAGAAAACTCATTGGCAAATGGCAAATGGTCCTCAGACAAAAGTAATCAATTACCTTGTGTTCTATGAGATACAAAATGGGGTGAACTAGAACCCCAGCTTTAATGGTTAGGAAATAGGGCCATAAAGGGTCCCTAAGGCCACTTTTCTAAGGCCCACAAACAGGCAGTCATGTAGATCTGTTCAGGATCTTCACTGTTGCCAGTGGGATAGCTCTAGAATCAGTCTTCTCCCTCTGTATCATGTTGGGAAATGAAAAAGTGCTTCTCTCAATTTTTTGAACATTTAATTTTATACGTAATAAAAGTACTAAACATCTCACCTATAATTTAATGATGAAGGAATTACAAAAAGGTGTTTTATTTCTATAACCAGAAGCAGATTTATAATGAAGCCAATGAAGCTAAAGTCTCAGAGCCTTCAAGGGTCCTTCCTGGCCCTAATTTTATTTTATCTTATTTTTCATTGTTTATTTGTGATGCATAATGTCTGCTTTCTTGGTGAGTATTTGATACATATAAATTACACATCTTTATTCTCTTTTGTGTCTCTTCACCTGACCCCCTTTCCCTCCACTTCCTGGTCCCCTTCCTATTTGCAAAAGATCCATTTCCTTTTATTTACCCTTTATTTTGCTTTTTATTTTATACTTTGGATTGCTGATATGAAGAACTCACACAGGATTTAAGCTTGTGTTTGATTTTTGTCATTTAACATTATGTTTATAGGTACATCCAGTTTTCTACAAATGATTCAAAACTATTCTTTTTATAGCAGGGTAGTATTCCAGTGTGTATGAGGGCCACATTTTCTTTATCCACTTGTCTGTCTGTTGATGGACGTGGCCTGCTTCTAAGATTTAGCTATCATGAACTGTGCTGCTATAAACATGGGTATGCATGTATCACTGCAATATGATGTCTTTAACTCTTTTGAGAAAATACCCATAAAGGAATATTTAATATTGGTTTTTAAAGAAATTTGAATACTGATTTTGATGATTGTACTAATTTATGTCCCTTCCAACAATGTAGGAAGGTTTCTTTTGCATCAGCACTTTTGCACCAGTTAATGTTTGATTTCTTGATGATAGTCATTGTTTCTGGAGGAAAATGAAATCTCAGTGCTTTCTTAATTTGTATTTCTTTAATGGCCATGATGCTGAGTGTTTTTTCATATATTTATTGGCTAGTTGTACTTCTGAGAAAATTCTATTCCCCATTTTGTCTGACCCATTTTTGACTGGGTCTTTTGTTTTGGGGAGTCTAATTTTTAGAGTGCTTTACATATTCTTTATATTAGTCTTCTGTCTGAAGTATAGCTGAAAACAAATTTTTCCATTCTGTAGGTTGTTTTTGCACTGTTGATAGTTTCCTTTGCTATAGAGAGGCTTTTTAATTTGATATGATCCTGTTTGCTGACTTTTGATGTTATTTCTTGTGCCATTGAATTTTCATTCAGAAAGTCCTTCACTACATCTATGAATTCAAGAGTTTTGCCTACTTTATATTTCAGCAGGTTAAGTTATACCATTTTAATATTTAAATCTTTGACATACTTTAATTTTACTTTAGTTCATGGTGAAAGATGTGGATCTAACTTCAATCTTCTACATGTAGAAGAACAGTTTTCCCAGCACCATTTGCTAAAGAAGCTATCGTTTTTCCAGAGTAATATGGCATCTTTGTCAAATATCAGGTGGATAAATGTATCTGTGGTTTTTCTATGCCCTCTCTTCTGTTCCATTGATTCACATGTCTTTTTTTATGCCAGCATCATGCTGTTTTTTATCACTGTGGATTTGTAATATAACTTGAAATCCTAGATTGTTAAGTCTCATGCTTTGCTCTAGTTACTCAGAATTGCTTTGACTATTCTGGGTCTCATGGTTCCATATAAATTTTGGAATTTTTTTCTAGTTCTTTGAGTAATTTTGTTGATATTTAGATTGAGACTGCCTAAATTCATCTACCAATTTGGCGACTATGAAAATATTGGTTATGCCTCTCCAGGAATGGGAGATATCTTTCCATTTTCTAATATCCTCTTCAGTCTCTTTTTTCAGAGTACTATAGTTTTTGTTGTGGGTAGTCTTTACTTTTTTATTTAAATTAATCCATAAGTATTTAACTTTTCTTGATGCTACTGTAAGTTGTATGGTTTCCTAATTTCTTTATTGGTGAGCTCATTATTTGTGAAACACTTGATTTTTATGTGTTGAAATTTCATCTTGCTATATGGTTGAATTTGGTCTTTAATTCCAGAAATCTTTGGTAAATAATTATAGTTTGATTTTTTTCCTTTCCTGTAGATATCCCTTTTATTTCTTTCTCTTACCTGATTGCTCTAGCTAATATTTTAAGTACTATGTTGAACAGAAATGGTCATAGCGGGCATCCTTGTCTTGTTCTTGATTTTAGAGAGAAAGCTTTCAGCTTCTCCCTGTTTACTATGATATTGGCTATTGGTTTGTCATAAATGGTTTTTAACAGATTTTTATAAGGTCTTTATATAACTTTTCTT